TGAGTGGGCTGACACTGGGGTGCCACTGACCACACGGCCATCGCGCGCTGTTTTGGGTGTTCTATTTGTGGCGCCAATCCTGAAGTCAGAGAGGGAGAGAGACAACCTGGTTCTATTTCTCCGGTAATCGATTACCATAGGATTACCAGAGCCGATCAATCGACTAATGTGTCACCTAATAACCTCAAAGCGAAGCGGACTGAAGAGGACGAGTGCACTGGCCCCATTTGCCGGCAGCCTGGACGGCGCTCACCGAGCCGTCATTAACGACGCCAGGATAATGATGGAATCGCTGATTTCGAACTGTGATTGTTGAAAATCTGGTCAATTCGAACTTTTTAAAAGAAGAAGAAAAGCTGTAGCAATGAGTCAGAAGAACTGCTGCGGTTGCTGGACTCCTTCTTCACCATGGGCAACGACTCGAAGAGCAAACTGCCGTCGTCGACGCCAGGACAACCCGAAATGGGCGACAATTCTGACTTGCCCAACAAGGACGATGATTTGGTTGAAGGAAAAGAGCCAATACCACAACCACCACCTCTACTGTCATCATCATCGTCAACAACTTCCACATCAGCACCATCAAAACCAAACAAAGCCGAAGAGAACCAATCATTGCCTGGTCCAAGCAAATCAATCCTAGCTCGCTTCAAACACCGGCCCGACTGTCCGGTGGCTCAAACCGGTCTCTGTTCTTGCTTTCGAGAGCTGGTGAGCTCTGCGAAAGCGACGACGACTGAGGGTAAAGTCGAGGTGAAAAGAGGAGGTAAACAGGTCTTTCTGTGGGTCAACAGCTTTGAGTCTAAAGCGTTTCTTTTCCAGAAACAAGGCCACCACCGCCACCACCAAAAGTCGTTGCTGGTAGTAAGAAGAAGAGCAGTGGTAAGAAGACGGCACAAAGAGGCAAGCGAGCCGTCAACAAAAAGAGGCCACCAACGCCGCCGCTCAGGTACAAACAGGACTCGAAGACCTTCGCCTCGCCGNGACTGAGGGTAAAGTCGAGGTGAAAAGAGGAGGTAAACAGGTCTTTCTGTGGGTCAACAGCTTTGAGTCTAAAGCGTTTCTTTTCCAGAAACAAGGCCACCACCGCCACCACCAAAAGTCGTTGCTGGTAGTAAGAAGAAGAGCAGTGGTAAGAAGACGGCACAAAGAGGCAAGCGAGCCGTCAACAAAAAGAGGCCACCAACACCGCCGCTCAGGTACAAACAGGACTCGAAGACCTTCGCCTCGCCGTACCGATTTCCCTCCGAGGTGCCCGCATTCAGTAGAGTAGAGGATCGAAGCCTTGTTGCTGTTGAGCCATCTGCTTCAGTGGCCGGAGAGGACGCCTCCTCGGGAAGTCGGAGAAGATCACCGGAAGTGCCTTCCGCCTTGGTGGTAGCCGACCCTTCTTACGGGAAGATCAGAGAAGAAGAGGAAGAGGAGGAGGAGAAGGAGGCTTCTAAAATGCATCCAATCAACAATGCCCTAATTGAATCCTCTGCCTCGGTGCTCGGTGAGGATGCCTCCTCAGGTCTACGGCGAAGATCTCCTGAAACGCCATCTTCGACACTCGCCATGGCGGATCCTTCTTACGGAAAGATCAGAGAAGAGGCTTCTAAAACGGTAGCTTTTCCCGCCAGAAATGCTCTGGTTGAATCCTCTGCTTCAGTGCTCGGTGAGGATGCTTCATCCGGTCAAAGGCGAAGATCTTCCGAAAACCCATCTTCGACGGTGGTCAAAGAGGATCCTTCTTACGGGCAGATCGGTGAAGCAAAGGAAAACAAAGACGAGGCGGTGAAGAAGGCGAATGAAGACGCCAAGAAAGAGTGAAGATTCTAAATTCTGAATCCTCTCTGGCGCAGTATTTCAATGGTGTTCCAGCACCAGTAGAACAACCTTCAAAGCAAAACAAACCAGAAAAAGACGACCTTCAATGGTGGGGCAGTGCAGGCATGTGTCAGCCTACCCAGGAAACCAGAGTTATTCATTAAATACGTCTGCAGAGCAGTTATAGGAAACTGGACAGAAAACGACAACAGCAACAATCATGATCGATACAAAAGAGTGAGTCAACAAGATGGGGCAAAGATGGAACGGTCTTGGAATGGTGAAGATAATGATTAAGATGAGACGGAAGCCGATGAAAGTTTGTGCTGGCTGCTGATGACCTGAGTGGAAGTCACCCTCCTCCTCCTCCTCCTCCTCCTCAAGCTGATAATACTGTGGCTGTGGCTAATCAGTATTGTGCGTACTTGATGTGATGTGCGTCGCCCATCTCGCTGAGT